AATGGCCCTCCGTGAATAATTCAAGCTCCAACAAAAAATTTAAAAAACAGAGTATGCAGTTTTCTTTGTATTCTTTTATTGATTTTACAAACCAAGTTTTATGTCGATCGGCTAAAAAATGCGGATTTTTCAAACAAACGTTGGAGCCTGTTTTCCCCCCTTTGGTGCTCGAGTTTTCCAAAATCCCTTAGTGGGCACCTATACTATGAAAGGATACTTGAGTCCAAATTTCAGCTTCCTAGCTTTTACCGTTTGGGGTGTGCGTTGATCACCAATCAGTCAGTCAGTCAGCCAGTCAGTCAGTCAGGACAAACTGTTTTATATATATAGATGCAACATAAATATATCTATATGTATATCCTGGCGAATTGAAGATCTATATAATCCTCATAATGGAATTGAAGTCGCGCCAACGAAGATTAAAGCTGGGTGTTGAGCTGCGACTGGGACGGCAAGTGGTCGTCGACGGGTGACGTAATATGCTACTTTAAGCTTTAATTGTCCATTTCATCCCTGGCCATTCCATTAAAATACGAAACATCGTTGACTGGGCAAATGGCTTTTACTGAATGCTGTCTGGGAAGATCCGAGCGCCTCCCAGTCGAATTAGGACTGGTCGTAGAAAGCTTGTAGATATTGCGTGGTTCACAAATTATATTCCACGTTTAATTAGCAATAGTAGCTTTTAGGTTGTTGTGCTTTCCGAACCGTGTCTAGCACTTTTTCAAGGAATATCACCAATTTCAAGTTATTGGATATTACCGGCAAGACCAATTTCTATAAACATGTTTCCTTTAGTGTCCAAATTTAGCAGTAATAACATACCTTGTCAGACACCAAATACACTTCACTGATTTTATTATCCCAATTCTTGTAAATTTGTTTGCGACTTGTGCTATTTTAATCAGAGCACATGTAATTTAACTCACAATAATTTATTGTTGTTTCAAAAAGTAAATAGGCACGTCCGATAAGCTCAAGCTTCTCTTTAGCAATGCCTACCTATTGCTGCATACTATAAATGGAGAGTGCCAAAATCGAACTCATGTACAGTGCCAATACATTACATACGTATGTGCATAGCTTAAAAGATAAGCGCGCTAGCTTTCGTTCAGATAACTGTATGATTGTATGACCATCTGCCAAGCAAGTGAGCTTAAGTCAAGGTTACCTAAGAGCACAGAACCAACGTTGCTCTTATCTCTCAATCTGGCAAAAATTAAGAGTTTGGATAAAATCAACCTTGTAGAAAATCAGCCACTACAACTTCCACTGAACCATGTGTTACTCAACCTAGTTTGGTTTTGGATAACATCGGTCGTATTTCATCTCCATTGATGACAGCTCATGTGGTGATCTAGTTTGCGTGACGTTGTCCTGTTAGCAGCAATGGTGCTTGATTTTGTAACTTTTTAAGTTACGAAGCTACGTGGCAAAGAATTAGACAGATTTTCGTAGTTGATTTGTTGTGAAGGAAGCTTTAAATCGTTTATTAGCCATACATAATTTAAATCGTGTATTGTGCCTCTGGTATCACTTAGCTTGATATTTGCTCGCTCTGCTGTTGACTCGAATCTATATAATCCTCCTGTCCAGCTAAAGCAATCGGGGCTCATTGATTCCTTTTGAATCAATTTCATGAGCCAGACTCATATCCATGATAGTGGATGTACTTTCTTCATATAAAAAGGAAATTATCTGTTTGGAATATTTTTGCCATTACCGTCGCCTCACTTGCCTGTTTGTGTAGCAGCTTGTTGTGAAATTTCTCGCAATTATCAATTTTGCAAGCCTCTCTTAGATTGCATTGACATTTATGAAATTTCAAACACCAATATCACGCTTTATGGCGGTTTGCGAAATACCAGCGTTTCTTTACAGTAGAGTTGAGAAAAACGTTGCATTTAATGAGGTCGTGTTAATCCTTGTAGCAAATAGAACAAGTTGCTCTAGCCTTTGGCTTTGGGTTGCCGGCCGTATCAACAATTTTGTTCGCTTTTTGTTGCTCTGCATACAATGTTACCGGGTTATTAATTGCTGACACCTTTTGGAAGAATGAAATGTCTTGAATAAGATCAGCCTGTTTCTGAGCGCCTTGGATAATCGATGTACGACTTATTCGTCAGGAAATCCACAGTTCCTGCTTGAAGTTTCAAATTGGTGTATGAAGTGCTTCCAGGCTAGCGCAGATGATCCGTCGAATTCCAAGTTTGCCGTCGAAAGCTTGTCGTAATAGCATTTTTGCCATTGTTTTTTGCATGGATTCGTCGTGTGGTGTTTCCGAATTGCGTTGCTGATGTACCAAATCGGACATTTGCCCGTTTAACATCGAGCGTGCGTGTTTTTCGTTGGACCGTGCAGAATTTGAAGAAGAACATTTTGTCAGTACAGCTTTGGTTTTCAAAACATTTCTCTTACTTACCTATGCTTCTTCTTCCGCTTGAAGAAGATCCAACTCACGCGTGCACCTATCGATTCCATTCTTAATTTTCGCTATACCTTGTTTGTCGTTTGCAGTGACGTCACTATATGCTTCTGCCAGTGCGTTTCAGCTTTTTGAATTTTTGGCGCTTTAAGTTTACATTTTCCGCATCTACATTTTCGAATTGTTCGTAGACCTCCAGTTTCAGCTTTTGACTCATCGTCGCTTTCGATGGTGCCAACTGATATAACTTCCACAATTTTGGCCGCCATGACAGTTTTTGTCGTACTTGCATCGGCGCCAATGTCAAGAAATTCACAGACGCGCAATAGAGCGTTTTTGCCTAGTTCCTTGATAATTTCCAGCTCGTGAAATTAAATTTTTAAGCAACAAATTATGCGCAACTTGACCATAGTTACCAGAAGGGCCATACTCAAAATACTAAACAATAACGATAAATTTCTTAATACTAGCTTCATCAACTATTAACAAGTAAAAAAGCTAAAGTCGGGTGTCCCGACTTTGAAATACTCTGTACATATGTTTACAATATTATAGAAAATAAAAAAAATTAAATTAAATTAAATTAAAAATAATTGTGATCGATTTTACCTTTCTCGGTATTCGTACTCACGTAAAGGTGTATAATTGCACATATACAAAGCAATTGTGCCTGTGTGAGTGGATGTATGCCTATGCGCATCTATTCGTGTCTGTGTAAACATGTTAGCAGTCAACCAAACAGCAACATCAACAACAGCCGCGGGCAGCGCTTGGGCAGCGCTTGGGCAGCGCTGCAGCAGCAAATATATTTATGGCTATAACTTCTTGTTAAATTGGTCTATCATAATGAAACTTGGCATATGGACACATAATAACTAACTGGGTGTATTTGCAAAATTTGAGTTCGAAATTCCAAGAATTACGGGAGTTAGAGAAAATCGCGATTTGCTGGGGAGAGGGGGGAGGGAGGGAAATTCCAAAATAAACATTTTCTGCGTATTCACACAAGGCATTTTGGACTAAAAGTTGGTGGCCCTGGGTCTTATAGTCTCCGAGATATAGGCGATTATACGAATGGAAAATCGGGAAAACCTTCATAGGGGGGAAGTGGGGGAGGAAAATCAAAAAAATAAAACAAACTCGTATAGAATACACACATAAGGCATCTTTGTGCAAAATTTGGTGTCTCTATCTCTTATAGTCTCTGAGATCCAGGTGTTCATACGGACGGACAGACAGACAGACAGGGCTAGATCGACTCGTCTCGTCATGCTGATCAAGAATATATATACTTTGTGGGGTCTGCCACGCCTCCTCCTGCCTGTTACATTTTTCAGCTCCCGCAAACCTAATATACTTCTGTACATTTCATGTACAGAGTATAAAAACTACTTAGCGTTTGGTTAATTCATAAGATACAAATGTTTTCTGCTGTTTTGTACTGAATTGATCTTACCGCACTTAATACCCTGAATATCCGCCATTATTATTGATGATTTTTTCGATTCCTGCAAACATAGAGAATAACAAGTAGTACATTTCATGTACAGAGTATAACAACTTCTGACAAATCTGCACTTGTTTATAGTTGGTAAAGCCTTTTATTAACACGCTTCTTTTATTTCAATACAAATAAAAAGTTTCACAACCCACGCAGTACATTAATACTTATATAATATTTATAGAATAATATTTTGGAATTTCGAAATAAAATTTGGTAATTAGTGATTATGTGTGCAACTGCACATTTACATAGAAATTGTGTCTATGTGTGCAGAGTTGAGCCAAATCTACAACAATAACACGTGTTCTGCGTGTTCATATAAGTCATTTTGAATTAAAATTTACTGTCTCTACTCTGGTTTTATTTAGAAATTGTTTTATTGCACATTTTACTAATTCTGCAATTACAATTTATAGACTGATGCGGGAGGAAGAATCGCTGGATAATATTAAACAATACTACGTCAAATGTAACAAGAGAGAACGCTACAGTCGAGCAAGCCCGACAGTGTAATACGCTGTACCCAGGTAAACTTCCGTCACTGAGTTATATGCGCCCATAGCAGCAGCAAAAAGAGGAAGAAGAAGAGCGAACTTGTTGCTGCAGTTTGGGGAGGTTGTACTGGCGAGAATTTGTTTCGCTAATAACTTTTCTTAGAATTGACCGAAATGAATAAAATTTTGAACAACAGTAGACAATTATATATATATTATGTGTGCAAGGTAGCATTTGAAATGTGGACGCTATTGACGAAATTCTGTAGCGGGGGAAGGGGGGAAAATTCCAGAATTCTCACTCTATATTTGGAATTTGGTGATCGTTTTGCAGATTAGCGAAACCAAACGAAACCATTTTTTTTCTTATCGCGTCACATTTTTAGTAATTAATGAAGTTTTTCAGGTGGTGCCCTGCAAATTGACACAGTTACAATTTAAGTTTATATTTGAAAAAGGTAGGATACATCAGTTGAACAAGCGGGATTCTAGGTTGTTAACTTCTTTGTATCTGAAACAATTTGAACAATGCAACTAAAATTATTTCCATTTCTGTACAAATGATATTTCTTTCTAGACTCGTAAAACTGCAGCTTGGCTAGCAGCTAAAATGACGTCTGATGGACACTCCGTTGCAGTGTTATCTGGTGATTTAACTGTGGAGCAAAGACTAGCTGTTTTGGATAGGTTTCGGTCAGGATTAGAAAAAGTTCTGATAACAACTAACGTGTTATCCAGGGGTGATATAATGGATAAATAACTATAAAGTTTACATAACATTGCTCTTTTTTTATTTTCAGGTATTGATATAGAACAGGTTACTATTGTTGTTAATTTTGACTTGCCAGTTGATGTTCGTGGAAATGCTGATTGTGAGACTTACCTACACCGTATTGGTCGAACAGGACGTTTCGGTAAGTACGTTTTTTTGCCGTAGTAGACCCAAAGTTAATGGATTGTTTATATGTACATATATGATCAGTATGATAGGAAGAATAGATGTGGATATTTTTATTTATCGAAAAGTACATAAAATTTATCACAAACTATATGACATTTTGTATATACAAGGTTTGTTCCAAAGTAAACAGGACTTTGAATCGACTGATGCGTTAGAATCTGCTATCTTTATCGATTGTCCAGTGAGAATTTCATGACATTTCATCGATTGGAAGTGAAGTTATTGCGTTTTAAGTGTCAGTATGTTTGTGTTATCGGTGCGAAAATGAGCTTCGAACAAAGAGCCAACATTAAATTTTGTTTTAAAATTGGTAAAACTTTTACCGAAACGTTTCAATTGATGGAACAAGTTTATGGCGATGATTGCCTATCCCGTATCCCCGGTTTTCTGTGTTTCTCATTATAAAATAGTTTTTTTCTTTTAAGTATTTTGTACATACTGATAAACCATAGAAGTCGAGAATTCGATTAAAAATAATTATATGTGCAAAACGACTTATTTGCCTTCTGTCTGCGTTAAAGTAAACAAATAATTTTAATTTCCTTATGCAAGTACAACTATAGTATAAAAAAGTACCGGATACGGGCAATGAGCGATGCTGGTATACAAATTGGACAAATAGCATCTGCCATAAATCGGTATCGCAATACAGTAGCAAAATTTTCAAAAGATTCAGATAATTATGATGTTGCCAAGCGGAGTGGTTTAATTGCGGCCATAGATGAGCGGACTACAGGACATATCCGACAAAGATGCACGTATGGCATTCTTCAATAAGTACCGATTTTAGAAGGAAGAATATAAGATGTCATTTTTAGCGATGAAAAAAAGTTAAGCTTGGATGGTCCTGATGGTAACCACAAATATTGGAGGGATATTCGAAACCCAGGCAGACCTGCTACAAGCGCAACCATGGGGAGCATCGCTAATGGTATGGGCTACCTTTAGCTCAAAAAGCAAGTCCCAAATACGCTATGTCCCGAGTAAAATGAACACCGAAAAGTATATAGAACTGTTGGATAGGGAGTTCATATCATTTGAGAGCAATTTCATTACGATCGGTGGATATTTTAGCAACACAACGGACCAGGAACATACCGTTAATACAGTGGCCAGTGTTGAGTCCAACCCTGAATCCTATAGAGAATATGTAGGGCATTTATATATTCCAAGCAGTATGACACTCAAAAGCAGCTTCAAAATTCAATTATAGAAGAGTGGGCACAAATTGATGAATTCTATGCCATGGAGTGTGGTAAATGGTAAAGGAGCACAATGGTTATGTTATATTATGTTTTGGCTTAAACGTCATTTTATACATTGCACATATGTATATTTATTTTACAGGGGTAGAATATTCCAGTCAAGCTTACGCTTCTTCAAGTCCTCTTTACTCAAATTAATTTGTTTATGATTTGTGAGACATAGTTTTTGAGCTGAAACTTTAAAGTCTTTTCCGGTCGGTTGATTTTACCAAGAACAACGACAGTTTAAGTGACTTTTTATACTCTGAAATGTAGAAGAGTATTCTTTAGGTTTGCGCGAGCTGAAAAATGTAACAGCCAGACCCCACATAGTATATACATATATTCTTGATCAGCATGATAAGACGAGTCGATCTCCCCCCCCCCCCCACTCCCCCAATAATGGGGGTTTTCTGTAACACCGTTCGTATAATTGCCTCGGAGACTATAAGGCGTAGGAACACCTAATTTTAGTCTAAGATGCCTTTTGTGAATACGTTGAAATTTCCCTCCCATCCCCCTTCCAATGTTCGCGAAGGACATAAAAATTGATTTCTCGTTTATTCTCGTTTATTACTTTCAGGAAAGTCCGGAATTGCAATTAATCTCATCGATAGCGAACGATCTATGGCAGTATGTCGAACTGTTGAAAAACACTTTAAAAAGGAAATCCAATATCTAAATACTGAAAACGCTGACGATATTGAAAAGATAGGAAATTAATTTCATCGTTGTTATAATCAGTTCGATTACGCTTTTTCTAAATTTATTAAGTGAATAAAAATAGCCCTATACAAAATTGTGTTATTTTATTGGCAATGGAGATAATTTTGAATGCTACAAACGCACGTAACTGAACGTAAAAGTTGTTGTAGATTTATCATCGGGCGTGCCACAGAAATCTCTTTCTCTCAAATTTCGCCCTAAAACCAAATCTTGGTGCCAGGGAAATTTTTTTAGATGTTTTCAAATCTCGTCTGTTTGGCCAGGAGTTTTGATTTAAAAAATCATAGCAATATAAAGTTTAGTTTTTATAAATAAACTGAAATTACTAAATGGCGACTTTAAACACTAGAACTTTGAACACAGCTTTCAAAACAACAAACAAACTTATAGAAATTTGTGTGTCGCCGAGTCGGCAGGTTTGTTTGTTAGCGAAAATGTGAGTGGTAATAAAACTGCCATTTAGAATGTACAATACGGAGCATCGAAAAAAAATGTAAGTACATTTTTATAATTTCTGAATTCAAGTGGAAATCCTTTTTTTCAGGGGAACACAGATCGCCCGAACAAGACTCAATCTTCGTGCAGTTTATGGATATACGTGCGGCGATAGGGTGGCTGTTGCCGCTCTTGGGAGGCGCTTAAAGCAAATTTAAATGCAAATGGCCCTCCGTGAAAGATTGTCGAAGAATGGCGACGAGTAAGTACATTATCCACATACAGCAATTCATACTTCTGTAATTAACGCATATTTATTTAAAGTTGTGGAAGGACTGAACACAGTCAACAAAACAACACCCGAGAAGCCGAAGGCAGATTTCGGCCATTCGCGGCAGCGAGGCCGCTGGAAGTGCTTGTTTCAGAGAAAACATCTGCGTTGAAAGGCATAGCGAAGGAGCTAAGGAGGCGTACAAATCGTCCACAGAGGCGCAGAAATCATCGCGATTGTGGGGCTGTTCAAGCAGCAGAGTTAAGAAAAACAAGACAGAACGCTACGGTCGAGCAAGTCCGACAGTAAAATAGCCTGTACTCTCCACAAAAAAGAAACAAGAAAGAACGCTACAGTTGAGCAAGCCCGACAGTAAAATAACCTGTACTCTCCACAAAAAGGAAAAATTAAAAAAAAAAAATTAAAAAAAAATTAAATTATTAAAAAAAATGAATGAATGAATTAATTAAAGTAATTAATTAAATTAAATTAGAATACATGTTTATGTTCAGTTTAAACAGCATACATTTACATCACGTACCTATGCGTGTTTATATGCGTGTATGTATGCAGCACAAAGTTGAACAAAAGCAACAACAACAACAAAAGCTGCGGGCAGCGCATGAGCAGCGATTTTACTTATGGCTATAACTTTCTTCAGAATTGACCTATCAATTTGGCACACGGACACATTAGTACTAACTGGATGTACCTACCAAAATTGATTTTAAAATTCCGAGAATTACGGAAGTTATAAGAAAAAATACGAATTGCGGGGGAGTGGGGGGGTGTATCAGAAAAAATAAACAAACTCGTTCTGCCTAGGGCTTATAGGAACCTTGATACCAATTTTGGTTATCCTAGCTCTTGTAGTTACTGAGATCCTTGCGCTCATACAGACAGACGGACAGACGGTCAGACGGACAGACGGACATGGCTATATCGACTCGTCTTCTCATCCTGATCAAGAATATATATACTTTGTGGGGTCTGTCACGCCTCCTTCTGTGTGTTACATACATGCGCACAAAACTAGTATAGCCTTTCACCCTTTGGGTACAGGCAATAAAAATTAAAAAAAATTAAATTATTTAAAACAAGAGAGAACGCTACAGTCGAGCAAGCCCTACAGTGTAATACCCTGTACCCAGGTAAACTTTCGTCACTGAGTTATATGCGCCCAAAAAGAGGAAGAAGAAGAGCGAACTTGTTGCTGCAGTTTGGGGGGGTTGTACTGGCGAGAATTTTTTTTGCTAATAACTTTATTTAGAATTGACCGAATTGAATAAAATTTTGAACAACAGTAGACAATTTTATATAAATTATGTGTGCAAAGTTTGGTTTAGGTAGCATTTGAAATGTGGACGCTATTGACGAAATTCTGTAGCGGGGGAAGTGGGGGAAAATTAAAAAAAATAAAATAAACTCGTCCTTACTCGGACCTAGGAGAATCGGATGCCAACTTTGGTTATTCTAGCTTTTATAGTTTCTGAGATCCTCGCGTTCATCAAGACGGACGGACAGACGGACAGACGGACGGACAGACGGACGGACATGTCTAGATCGATTTCTCTCGTCATGCTGATCAAGAATATATATACTTTATGGGGTCGGAGATGCTTCCTTCTGTATGTTACATACTTTGCACAAACCTAATATACCCTTTTTACCCTACGGGTACAGGGTATAAAAATGAATGAATGAATTAATTAATTAAATTATCATGATGAAATTTGGCACACGGACACATTAGTACTAACTGGATGTACTTACTAAAATTGATTTCAAAATTCCGAGAATTACGGAAGTTATAAGAAAAAACACGAATTGCGTGGGAGTGGGGGGGGGGGGGGGTGCATCGAAAAAAAACTCAAACTCGTACTTTCTCGGTCTTAGGAGAATATGGAAACCAAGTTTGGTTATTCTAGCTCTTATACTTTCTGAGATCCTTGCGTTCATACGGACGGACGGAATTTGTGCATGTTCGTTTAACGAAATAGTTTGTCAAGAACAAAAATGTAACGGACTACTGAACAATTTTTTGTCAAGAACAGAAAATGTTCATTTAAATACCTTAAATGCCTTCCTACTGGTAACCTTTAAGGTGAAAACATATGGGTAGGTTATGCACACACAAAATAAATACAATTGGAAACATATTGAGCCGGGTTAAGACGGGCAATACCTGCTAGTACACTATAAAAACTATTAAGGATGGGGGTGTCAACATAATGCTACGGGGGTGGGTCATCGTTTGGGTGTTGATCCAATTTTTGGTTTAAGGACGAAATCTGCCCTATCAAAGAAATGCTGGTAATGTTGGACTTTTTTCAAGATAATGACCCTAATGATCCGTCACACATTGCAGCTTGCAAAAACAAGGTTCCATGAAATCAAAGGTTCTTTGATGGAATGGATTTCTCAATGTTCCGACCTAAATCCCATAGACACCTATGGGGGAATCTTTTTGGGCTAAATTCCAAAAACAGACGATTTATGGCAAAAAGTGCAGACCGCATGGTATGGTATTCATCTCCCAACATTTTGGCCAAACTAGCAGAATCTATCCGTCGTCCAAGCATAGAATCTTTCAAAAATCATGGTGGCTCTACCAAATATTAGTAATAACCCCAAATTTTATACATGGTTTATGGCTTGGAATTAAACAATTTACTTTTTTCGAGCTTAAACTACAGTGAACACTCTCTGCCGGACATTCACGGTCAGCTAATTTTTGTCCTGGGACAAAAACTCTCCCAAGGGGAGTGTCCGCTTAAGGGGATACTGAAGTACTTTATACACCGATCGAATGTTTTAGAAAAAGTATCCCCCGAAAAGAATGTCTGGATAAAAGAGGTGTCCATAATGGAGTTTTCACTGTATATCGTTTTTTTATCTTTTTTTTTTTTTTTAATTTCAACATGTAATGTGATAAATATTTAGCAAAAATAATTGCATTCTGGAAGAAAATTCAAAGCAGTATTACCGACAATCGCACTTACCACCATTGCATTAATACTAAAAAAGCCTTTCTGGCTTAAAAACTGGAAATCGTTTTGGTGAGGCTTAATAATTTTCACGTGAGCTCCATCGATGCACCCAATAACTCCTGGGATCCCATACTTATTAAAAAATGAGCTGTTGCCCGCATAATGTTCTCCGTTCTAAATTGATAAATATTGGGCAAATAACCGATAACTCCTTGGAAAGAGCCAACGCCGAGAAATCGAAGTGCAATGCCCAATTGCAAAATTGGCGATATGAAGGAAGGCGGAATTGCGTCCTTGATGATTAAAAATCACCGCGAAAGTCTGTATCGACTCGATAATTATAGCGAAAGCTGTAAGTATACCTTGTTTATAATATCCAGAAATAAAAAGTGAACACTTACGTGGTATCTGAATTTGCAAAGGGTTCAGATTCACTTCTTAAACATTTTCGTTGCATTAATTTAAAAGCAACTCTAGCCGACGGTATTTGCGCAATTTGAGTTCGAAGTTCCAGAAATTAGGTAAAATCACTATTTGCGGGGGAGAGGGGGGAGGGAGGGAAATTCCAAAATACACATTTTCTGCGTATTCACATAAGGCATCTTGGACTAAAATGTTGTGTCCGTAGGTCTTGTAGTCTCCAAGATATAGGCGATTATACGAAAATCGGGAAAATCCCCATAGGGTGGTAGTGGGGGGGGGGGGGGGGGGGGGTAATCAAAAAAATAAAACAAACTTGCACAACGTAAACACAGCGCATCTGGGTCTGCCACGCCTCTTTCTGCCTGTTACATTTTCAGCTCCCACAAACATAATATACTCTTGTACATTTTGTGTACAGAGGAAAACAATAAGAGAATCTTTTTTTTTTTGTTTTTATAGCCTGTAACCAAAGGATGAAAGGCTATACTAGTTTTGTGCGCATGTATGTAACACACAGAAGGAGGCGTGGCAGACCCCACAAAGTATATATATTCTTGATCAGGATGAGAAGCCGAGTGGATATAGGCTTGTCCGTCCGTCCGTCTGTCCGTATGAACGCAAGGATCTCAGAAGGTGTAAGAGCTAGAATAACCAAACTTGGTTTCCATATTCTCCTAAGACCGAGAAAGTACGAGTTTGACTTTTTTTTCGATGCACCCCCCCCCCCCCCCCCCCACTCCCCGGCAATTCGTGGTTTTTCTTATAACTTCCGTAATTCTCGGAATTTTGAAATAAATTTTGGGAGGTACATCCAGTTAGTAAAATCGCTGCTCATGCGCTGCCTGCAGCTCTGTCGGCAGCGCTGCCCGCAGCTGTTGTTGTTGTTGCTGCTTTGGTTCAACTTTGTGCTGCATACATACACGCATATAAACACGCATA